CAAACTACATGCACGGACTGCTTGGTATCAGAGCCTTTTTTTTTTTCGTAACTACAATTCAATTGTTCGCTTGCGCGATGCGAGAAAACCTGTTTAACTGGTAATCTACAGCACAAATACCGCGTGATATTTGTACTCGTCTATGGCGTTATTTGTACTCAACGAAGTGAAGTTGGCCAACTACACTGCGTAGAGTATAAATAACGTCCAAGACTAGTACAAGTATCACGCGGTATTTGTACTCCAGAGAACCGGTCAAACAGGTTTTTTCGCATCGCGCAAGCGATGAATTTGATTGAAGTCACAAAAAAGAAAATGGCGGACAATTTAAATAATTTTTCAGATGACGAAGAGTCGGAGCGGCTGGCGAATAATGATCCAAGTTTATTCGATAAGTCAACGAAGAAAAGCAGTTAAGAGGACAATTAAATTTCATCATTTATTGAAGAAAATAGATACAGCAGCACGACAACGCGCCAATTCCGTTCCCCTTCGCGTACTTCTGTGACGCACTTCCCTTAGATATCCGCGAAATTGGCTCGCACTGAAATAAAAATTTGGCGTGTTGGATAATGAATAACTTATTAGACTTTTAGTGTGTCGTATCGCTGAGTATTTTTATTCGTTATTTGTATTTCGAGTCGCCCTACGGGCTCGTCAAGATACGGCACAACTCGTAAAAATACTCAGCGATACTACACAACAAAATGCCTAATAAGATGTAGTTACTGTGAAGGAGAGGGTGGATTTGGGCAGTCCCTCCTTTTCGGAGAAGTCTGTCGCGCGAGTCAAAGATTTACTGTAAAGCGTCCATGGATAAGTCTGTTGCATTACTACTTTTCTCTACTGACATTAATGCAGCGGTTCTTTTTGTGATTCTGAACTCATGCTCTCGTTTCCAGTTAACAGTTTGCTAAGCAGTAACATCTCAATTCTTATTGGTCCAATGGAAACTTCTGCCGTAATTGCCACCCACCCTCTGTGTAGCCGAGCAAGTGTCCCTCAGATAGCTCCGCTGACCAGTCTTGAAATGATTTCCGAAGATGGTAGTGGTTTGAACTACTTATTGCGTATGAGCCCCACAGAGAAGCTGAAAGCCAAAGTGATAGCAGGAATAATTGAGAACTACAAATGGGAAACGATGGCTGTGCTAGGATATCAAAATAAAGAAGGTGAAGTTAACGACTAATTTTATGTTCAGATACAATTGTGCGTCAATTTTTCGATCATTGAATTTGGCTTACAAAAAACTTCTATTTTCCGAATTGAGCCATGAGGCAATCTACCTTGTGCTGCTAATCTATTATTTCTGTAAAGTGAGTGTGTAAATTTGTTAAGTTCTCGAAAACCTTGCTCCGTGCTCGGCGAATGAATGTGAATGTGAAGACACACAAGTATGTTGGAAACAAAGCTTTATTCAAGCAAACGACATAGCTTCGATCGAGGTAAAATAAGTTCGAATTTCTTAAACCATGCTTAATCAAAACCTTACCGGGAGAGCATCGGCTTTTCAATATTTGGTATGGAGCAAACTTAGCTCAGTCCGTACTATCAAGACATAGGGTCAATATTCTCTCAGAGGGGTCCTCACGCTTGTTTGTTGAGGATCTATCCATATATGCATGTAACAGGTCGAATTCGATGGTTCGTGCTCTCATATATTTTCTCTTCGATAACCGGCCGGGAGGACCTTAACTATTCCCGCCCTTCAAAAGGAGTGTAACGAGACTGTCCTTTAATGAGAGAACAATTTTCTTTGCAGCTCCTGAAGGTCACTCCAGCTTTCGTTTGATTGCCAGTGAAAATGAATGGAATGTGGTTAAGGCAACTCTTATCTCGCCTGATCCAGGTGGGAGAGAAGGAGATCTGTTGACGGCATTAACGGTTATTACGAGTTTGAAAGAATCTCAAAGCACTCGCCTTGTGGTCGTGTTCTTTCCTGCGTGGGCTGTGGAAAAATGGATGAAGCTGGTAAAAAGCAAACTGGATACGGATATGGGAAACTGGACATGGATATTTTCAAATTTTGGGAATCGAAAGGTGAGCAATCTTTTTTTTTAATTCACGGCGTTGAGGTTAGCTAGTAGTTTGGTGGACAATTGGTTAAACTGCTCTGCTCCACATACCGACCACGGACAAGTTTAGACCAATCAAAACTTATTAGTTGTCCTTTCATATCAAAAAGCGTCCTTAGAATGATGCAGTGTTGGTAGGGGAACCTTTCAACAACAAAAGCGCCATTAGAGATCAGGGTGTCATCTTATGAGAGTAGCAACAATCGTTCATTTTAATTAAGGTAAAAAAAGTAAGATCTGTAGCGGAGCCAGTGGGTCCACCCCGCCGGAGCTTATTCCGGTTTCCATTTAACATGAAGTGACCAGGAGTATTACCACTCCTAGTTTTGAATAGTTTGACGGCCGCGAAGTTAGGCAGATCCGAAAAACAGTGACTTTTCAATTCTGACAGGTATAACGTATTATTTAGCCAATGTACGGTTGCGAATTATTGACATTTGTGACAAGCTGTAGGCGCGGAAGAAAATTTAGTGGTGAACAATAAAAACAATAGAGTATTTGTTTTAAGAACATCAAATTTCCGCGGGGCAACTATCAGCCGATAGTTCCTCGACCGAAACACTCTATTGTTTAATTAATACTCCTGAGTGGAGAGAGGCACTGTGAGAGTAAACTGTTTTGCCATAGAACACAACTCATAGATCCGGGTCAGGCCTCGAACCCAGTGCACCGCCCAAAATTTTTGGTGTTTGAAGTAGTTAGCTGCATCAATGATCCTGGTTGTTTGGCGAAACTCGTAGTGTTCCTGTAAAACAACTCGAGACTATCAGAAAAGCTAACGTGGGTTTCCTCTGCCATCAAATCTTTTTTATACCGATATTATTATTTATCCTCACTGGTTTGTGACAGACCAATATATTTTCACAATCCGCCAATTCGATGTAATAACCTGGAATTAATGCAACTGAGCATGAGAACGTCCTCAGTGGTTAATCGTTTTTCATTTCAGTGCAAAGCTTGGTTTTACAAATAGTTTAAAAATAATCGAGGAGTACTGTGCGAAGTGAATACTTTATGAGCCTCTGACCAAAAATTTCGAGAATCAGCAGAAATTTCTGAGATTTCGTAGTTCATTTGGTTTTTCCTAAAGGACCCTTTTAATGAAGCTTTTTCAAAAACTTAGAAGATATATGTTTCTTTACATCTTGGTACGTTTAAGTGTAGAGTATGTACTTTGTGTCTTTTCGCAGAGGTAAAACAGGGGTTAATTTTATAGGCCTATAATGAAGTCTGCTACGTATATTTAAAAAGTATAATACACATCGTCTTAATGTTTTGTCCTTTTAGTTTAATTCTTCTAATTCTCTATCTTGGCCCGCCATAATCAAAGCGTCCATTATAAAAAAGAGTTCCGGCTATCATGACAAAAATGAGATGCGAACCGTTTGAACCGCTGTCACGCAAAAGATCCCCACAACTAAACAGCTAGAAGAAAAGACCTTTAAAAAGATCTGGGTCATTCGATTATTAAGAAGTCATGTTAAACATCATCTTGAATCTCCATTCTTGTGGTTTAATTCCTCCAAATTTTCTTCCATGGCTCACCGTAAGCGGTGCGTCCAGGATGAAAGGAGTTCGAGCTATTATGACAAAAAATGAAATGCGAACCGTTGAACGGCTGTCACGCAAAGGATTCTGTACATAGCAGTGAATTCTCGGCCAAGCTGAAAGATTGTGACAGTGGCCCTTAATTTTTACCCACGCCACTTGAATATGCCAAAGAAAGACCACGTTACAACTCAGGAGTAGTGGCTGGATTCTTTAGCTGACGAGATGACGAGAAGTTCATGAGACGGTGCCTGCCGCTTACCGATGGCATCACAAACATGGCACATTTTCTTCAGATTTTTTTCAGGTTCTACCCTCCATACAAATTCCCGATCTCTGCTCTGTAGTCCAGACCTTTCTCCATTAAAATGACTAGCTGGCTATTGTTTAAGCTTATGAGGCACGATTAAGTAACTTTTAGCTGAAAGTTAAAACCGGACAAGACCTTTTTTCATTTTACTCCATTCTTATACTCCAGCGTATGACTTAAGATGTTTTCTCCGATAAGGAAGACCTTCTCAGCAGTGACTCTGGTGATATACCAAACTACATGCACGGACTGCTTGGTATCAGACCGACCGTGGGTAAAGGCACCCGCTTTGAGCAGTTCAAAAATGCATGGCAGCAGCAGGTCCCGGGAAAGGAGATATCGGTAAATTGTTAACTTCCTTTGATTCTCTTAGAGTTCTTACCATCTTTCATATGGTTTGTTGTTCAGGTTGGTATTTGTTTGACTTTTCTTTTTTTTTTTTTTTCTTTATTTTGAAAAGCATTTGGATCAGGCTTATTTCAGGAAAGTAGCGAAAAATAATTTGCTGAAGAAGGGATTTATTTTATTGTCCAAACAGCACGCGCTTTTGATTTGGTATTACCAGTTGCAAAGCAACTGATTCACAATTTATTGGAAATCGACAATGAGTCACTGCCCAATGTGATTTATAATAGCAGTTTATTCACAATTCAACGGAGCATTGAAGAAAACTAAGACTATCGTCTGTAATGATCTGCTCGAATGATAGAATATTCTCTAGGTTTTCTCGAGTGAAGACCAATGCGAAGAATTCATTCATTCAGAAATATCACGTTCATCAGTTAATGTGCTTCCATTGTCCATCTTGATAACAGTCAGATCACCGGACCCTTTACGTGTTGAATTGACGTAGTTCCAAAAGAGCTTACACTCTTTTTTGTCCTGCATATTGCTTGCTAAGTCCTTCAATTCATGG